ATGTCTGTTTTTGTGCCAGTACCATGCTGTCTTGGTGATCACAGCTTTGTAATATAGCTTGAAGTCAGGCAGTGTGATGCTCCCAGCTTTGTTTTTCTTTTTTAACTTTCCCTTGGCAATTCGGGGTCTTTTCTAGTTCCAAACAAATATTAGGATTGTTTGTTCCAGCTCTTTGAAAAATGCTATTGGTATTTTGATCGGGATGGCGTTGAAAGTATAGATTGCTCTGGGCAGCATAGACATTTTCACAATGTTTATTCTTCCAATCCATGAGCATGGAATGTCTTTCCATCTCTTTGTGTCTTCCTCAATTTCTTTCATAAGTGTTCTGTAGTTTCTAGAGTGTAGATCCTTTACCTCTTGGTTAGGTTTATTCTGAGGTATCTTATGGTTTTTGGTGCTATTGTAAATGGAATCAATTCCTTAACTTCTCTTTCTACAGTTACATTGTTAGTGTATAGAAAAACAACTGTATTCTGTGCATTGATTTTGTATCTTGCCACATTTCTGAATTGCTGTATGAGTTCTAGTAATTTTGGGGTGAAGTCTTTTGTTTCCACATAAAGTATCATGTTGTCTGCGAAGAGAGAGTTTGACTTCTTCTTTGCCAATTTGAATGCCTTTTATTTCTTTTTGTTGTCTGATTGCTGAGGCTAGGACTTCTAGTACTATGTTGAAAAATAATGGTGAGAGTGGGCATCCCTGTCAAGTTCCTGACCATAAGGGAAAAGCTCTCAGATTTTCCCCATTGATAATGATATTCGCTGTGGGCTTTTCATAGATGATTTTTATGATATTGAGGAATGTTCCCTCTATCCCTACACTTTGAAGCAGGAAAGGGTGCTGTATTTTGTCAAATGCTTCTTCTGCATCAATTGAGAGGATCACATGGTTCTTATCTTTTCTTTTATTAATGTGCTCTATCATGTTGATTGATTTGCAAATGTTGAACCACCCTTGCATCTCAGGAATGAATCCCACTTGGCCGTGGTGAATAATTCTTTTAATGTACTGTTGGATCTTATGGCTAAGATCTTGTTGAGTATTTTGGCATCCATGTTTATCAGGGATATTGGTCTATAATTCCACTTTTTGATGTGATCTTTGTCTAGTTTTGGGATCAGGGTAATGCTGGCCTCATAGAATGAGTCTGGAAGCTTTCCTTCTGTTTCTATTTTTTGAAACAGCTTTAGTAGAATAGGTATGATTTCTTCTTTAAATGTTTGGTAGAATTCCCCTGGGAATCCATCTGGCCCTGGACTCTTGTTTTTTGGGAGGGTTTAGATCACTGCTTCAATTTCGTTACTGGTTATTGGTCTATTCAGATTGCCAATTTTTTCCTGCTTCAGTCTTGGTAGTTTATAGGTTTCTGGGAAGGCATCTATTTCTTCCAGGTTGTTTAATTTGTTGGCCTATACTTGCTGGTAATAATTTCTAATAATTGTTTTTATTTCCTTGGTGTTAGTTGTGATTTCTCCCCTTTCATTCATGATTTTACAAATTTGGGTCCTTTCTCTTTTCTTTTGGATAAGTCTGGTCAGAGGTTTATTGATCTTATTAATTCTTTCAAAGAACCAGCTTCTAGTTTCATTGATCTGTTCTACTCTTTTTCTGGTTTCTATTTCATTTATCTCTGCTCTAATCTTTATTATTTCTCTTCTCCTACTTGGTTTAGGTTTTATTTGCTGTTCTTTCTCCATTTCCTTTAAGTGTAAGGTTAACCTGTGCATTTGGGATTTTTCTAATTTTATGAGAGAGGCTTGGATGGCTGTGTATTTCCCCCTTAGGACCGCCTTTGCAGTATCCCATAGGTTTTGGACTGATGTGTTTTCATTCTCATTGGTTTCCATGAATTGTTTAGGTTCTTTAATTTCCTGGTTGACCCAATCATTCTTTAGCAGGATGCTCTTTAGCTTCCAAGTGTTTGAATTCCTTCCAAGTTTTTTCTTGTGATTTGAGTTCTAGTTTCAAAGCACTGTGGTCTGATAACATGCAGGGGATAATCTCAATCTTTTGGTATCAGTTGAGACCTGATTTGCAACCCAGTATGTGGTCTTTCCTGGAGAAAGTTCCATGTGTGTTCAAGAAGAATGAGTATTCTGTTGTTTTAGGGTGGAATGTTCTGTATATACCTATGAAGTCCATCTGGTCCAGTGTGTCATTCAAAGCTCATGTTTCTTTATTGATCTTCTGCTTAGGTGATCTGTCTATTGCTGAGAGTGGAGTGTTGAGGTCTCCTACTATTAAAGTATTATTATCAAGAATTGCTACCCCAGCTTTCTTATGAGGTCCATTGGCATGAAAAATGTTTCTCCATCCCCTCACTTTCAGTCTGGTTGTATCTTTAGATTCAAAATGAGTCTCTTGTAGACAGCATATGGATAGGTCATGTCTTTTTATCCAATCTGCAACCCTGTGCCTTTCATGGGAGCATTTAGGTCATTCACATTGAGAGTGATTATTGAAAAATATGATTTTATTGCTATAACGTTGCCTGTGAAGTCCTTGTTTCTATAGATTGTCTCATAAATTTCTGGTCTATTACTCTTGGGGTCTTTCTTCTTTTATAGAACCCCCTTAATATTTCTTGCAGGGCCAGCTTGGTGGTCACATATTCTTTCAGTTTCTGCCGGTCTTGGAAGCTCTGCATCTCTCCATCCATTGTAAATGACAGTCTTGCTGGATAAAGTATTTTTAGCTTCATGTTCTTCTCATTTAGTACCCTGAATATGTTTTGCCAGCCCTTTCTGGCTTGCCAGGTCTCTGTGGATAGGTCTGAAGTTATTCTGATGTTCCTCCCTCTGTATGTAAGGAATCTTTTACACCCTAGCCAGTTTCAAGATTGTTTCCTTGGATCTAAGATTTGTGAATTGTACTATTATATGTCAGGGTGTCAGTCTTTTCACATTGATCTTGGGAGGGGTCCTCTCTGCCTCTTGGACACAAATGCTTGTTTCCTTCCCCAGATTAGGAAAGTTCTCAACTATGATTTGCTCAAATATACCCTCCAGTTCTCTCTCTGTCTTCACCCCCTCAGGGATCCCAATAATTCTGACATTGGGATATTTCGTGGCATCATTGATCTCTCTAAGTCTGTTCTCATGGGCTTCCAGCTGCCTATCCCTATCCTCCTCAGCTTCTTTCCTTTCTATCAGCTTATCTTCTAGATCACTAACTCATTCTTCTGCCTCATTTACCCTGGTTGTTAGAGAATGAGTTTAGACTGCATCTCATTCATAGCATTTTTAAGTTGGGCCTGATTAGATCTCATTTCTGCATTTAGAGATTCTATATTGTCACTAATGCTTTTTTCAAGCTTAGCTATTGACTTCATGATTGCTACCCTGAAGTCTATCTTTGACATCTTGCTTATTTCCATTAGATAACGTGGCAGAGGACATTGTCCCTGGTTCTTTTCTTTGCTGGGAGTTCCTCCTCTTAGTTATTCTGTTGCAGGATGCTTGAGGGCATGTACAGAGTCCAAAATATCAATCACGACCAAGCAAGACATGCCGTAGGAAAATCCAGGGCAGCTGGAAGCCACCACCAAAAAAAGTCAAAATGAAACACAAGAATAAAATTTATAAAATGAAAAAATAAAAATAAATAAAAATAAAAAAAATTGGGGTGAGGGGAAGGGGGGCTATAATCTCTCAGTGTGGACAAAGTAGGGTGTTTCAGTTGTTCTTGGGTGTATTTTGGTCTGTTTGTTAGAAGACACTACTTCCCAAAATTACAGGGAAAGTAAAACTTGTATATGTAAAAAGGTAATATTGAATAGGGAAAAAAGGACTACAATGAAAAATGTATCTATAAAAAAACATAGGTGTGAAAAAGTACAAGTTAAAAAGCTACTATGAAATATAAGTTGATATATTAAACATCTAGTTGAAATGAGAAAAAGGTAAAAAGAAAAAACAGAGAAGAAACATAAGATAAAGAATAACAAGAAAAAGAGAGTTGTATCTGAAAAATAAACAAGCCGTGAGGCAATGCCTGGAGCTCAATATACTGTTTTCCCCTGGTGTTGAGATTGTACAGTCTTATGAGGTCCGTGGGTTGTCGCCCTTTTGTTCTTCCAGCTTGTCTTCCAGGGGAGGAGCCTGCCACGCTGTTTCTCAGGCTACCCTGCTTGGGTGGAGTTGCCTTGCCCCCTGTTAGGGGAATGGGCTCATTGGAAACCGATTTTTTGAGCTTTTGTTCTCTGGCGGCTTTCTGCACCTCTTCAGAGGGTCAGAGCACAAATGGCCACACCCAAACCTCTGGCCCAGAGCAGAGAAATTGCAGTCTGCTCTCTTCACTAAACTCGCCGGGACACAGTCTCTGTTTCTGTATGCGATGCTGAAAACCTCAGCCTCCCAGGGTGCACACCCACAGTGACTCTCTCAGAGGTCATCCCAGGGGCCCAGGCTTGTCCCTGCCCTTTGTGCTTCTAAAACTTCGAGCGGCCCTGGGCTCGCGCCACACCATCAGCTCCTGGGTCATGTCTGAGCACTGCTCTAAAGCCCTTTCGCAACCGCTACTGCTCTGCGAGTTTTTTGCTGGGTCCCCAACACAGGACACTTTGGCACTCTGGTGTTACAGCACTTTCCAGGAGCCAGCTTAGGGTGGCTCCTGCCCCCTTCTGTTTATCTTCAGATATCACCCAGCAGATTCAAGACTGCCCTTCCTACCTTGAGACAGGCAGTGCTTTTCTGCTTGTAGAGATCCTGATATATATTCTTAACATGTCAGGCTGATTTTTGTGGGTGTTCAGAATGGCTTCATAGATATCCAGCTAAATTCAAGGGTCCCGTTGAAATGGTGTCCCCTACTCCTACCTTCTCCACTTTTTCTTTCTTGTCCTTCAATATTATGATTTGGGCTTGTCCTTGATTTCTACACAATTATAATTTTACTCTTTCCAACTGTGCCCCCTTTTAACCTTGCCAATCATACAGGATCGGTGAACAAGAGGAGCCACTGAGGTCAGGACAGATAGGAGCAAGGGAGCAGCTGTTATGGCTTTTAAACTCCTTACAAACATAGAGAAGGAGGTGACCTGCCCCATCTGCCTGGACCTCCTGAAGGAACCCTTGAGCCTGGACTGTGGCCACAGCTTCTGCAAAGCCTGCATCACTGCAGAGAACAAGGAGTCTGTGACAAGCCAAGGAAGGAAGAGCAGCAATTGCCCTGTGTGCCAAATCACTTTCTGCTCTGTGGAACTGCGGCCTAACTGGCATGTGGCCAACATAGTGGAGAGGCTCCAAGAGGTCAAGGTGAGATCTGAAGAGGAGCAGAAGAGAAATCTCTGTGAGCGCCATGAAGAGAAGCTTGTGCTCTTCTGTAAGAAGGATGGGAAGGTCATTTGCTGGGTTTGTGAGCGGTCTCAGGAGCACCGTGGTCACCAAACGGTCCCCATGGAGGAGGTTGTACAGGAGTACCAGGTAAGAGACCAGGATGGAGGGAATACAGGGCAGAAAATAGAATTTGAGAAATCGCCACTTTGCACTCAATTTTATTTTTTATTTTTTTTAATTTAATTTTATTATGTTATGTTAATCACCATAGATTTCATCATTAGTTTTTGATGTAGTGTTCCATGATTC